CCAAGTTGTTCACTCTATAGAGCGTCGATTCTGTTTGTGAAGAAGAAAGATGGCTCCCACAGGATGTCCATTGATTATCAAGAGTTGAACAAGTTGACGGTGAAGAACCGTTATCCACTTCCGAGGATCAACGATTTTTTTCGACTAGTTACAGGGTGCGTCTTGGTTCTCCACAATTAATTTGTGTTTGGGTTATCATCGGATGAAGGTTCGAGATGAGGATATTCATAATACGGCCTTCAGGCTCGTTATGATCATTACGAGTTTGTGGTGATGCCTTTTGGGCTCACCAATGCACTAACAAAGTTCATGGATCTCATGAACCGAGTTTGCAGACCGATGGTGCATCGCTATGTCATTGTGTTCATTGATTATATCTTGGTCTATTCTAAGACCAAGGAGCAGCATGAGGATCATCTGCGAGAGGTTTTGGAGACTTTGAGGAAAGAGAGGCTATATGCCAAATTCTCCAAGTGCAAGTCTGGTTGCGCGATGTGCAGTTTCTGGGCCACCTTGTCAATCAGAGGGGTATTTTGGTTAATCCGGCCAAGATCGAGGCCGTATGCAGTAGGAGGTTCCGAGATTCATAGTTTCCTTGGTTTAGTTGGGTATTATCGGAGGTTTATCGAGAACTTCTCCAGGATCTCCGTTATGTTGACTAGGTTGACGAAGAAGTCTACTACATTTCGTTGGGGCCTGAGCAGCAGGCAAAATTTGAGACCATGAAGCGGATGTTATGTGAGGCTCCGATTTTGACCCTGCCAAAGGATGTGGATGATTTTGTGGTGTACTGTGATGCATCGATTTCAAGATTGGGTGTAGTTTTGATGCAGAGGGGTTGTGTGATAACTTATGCTTCGAGGTAACTGAATCCTCATGAGGCGAATTATCCCACTCGTTATTTGGAGATGGGGCGGTTATGTTCGCCCTTAAGATTTGGCGTCATTACTTGTATGGGATTCGTTGTATCATTTAAACGGACTACAAGAGTTTGAGATACATGATGGATTGGCCAAATTTGAACATGAGGCAACGCAGGTGGCTTTATGTGATGAAGGATTATGATTGTGAGATCCTTTATCATCCTGGGAAGGCCAACATGGTGGCCGATGCTCTTTTTCGCAAGACGGCTGGCGCACCGATCAGGGATGTTTGTTTGAGGATGACTGTGATGACCCCACTCTTGGAGCAGATTCGAGAGGCTCGGGTCGAGGCTATGAAAGAACTGCACCGGAAGAGTGAGCACATAGTAGGCCATGTGTCCTCTTTTGATTATGATTGTTGGGGATTATTGACCCTTCATCCGACAGTTTGGATCCCATACTTTGGGGGTACGCGACAGATTTTGATGGAGCAGGCACATAAGTCGAGGTTTCTATTCATCTGGGAGCGACGAAGATGTATAGATACCTCCGACTCGATTACTGGTGGCCCTATATGAAGTGAGATGTGGCCTAGTATGTGGAGAGGTGCTTGACTTACAGGAAAGTCAAGGCCGAGCATCATCGACTTCATGACAAGATAGAGCCGTTGGATGTTCCCGTTTGGAAATGGGAAGATATTACAATGGATTTTATCACGGAGCTACCACAGACTGCACATGGGGTGGATTTGATTTGGGTTATCGTGGATCGATTGACCAAGAGTGCGCATTTCATCCCTACTCAGGAGAGCATTTCCGCAGAGAAGTTAGCGTATGTCTATATCCGAGAGGTTGTAGCACATCATGGGGTTCCAGTCTTGGTGGTTTTAGATCGATATGTTTGGTTCACCTCCTGGTTTTGGAAGAGGTTCGATGAGGATTTTGGTACTTGATTGCACTTCAGCACATCTTTTCATCCACAGACCGATGGTCAAAGCGAGCGGACTATCCAGACCTTAGAGGATATGCTACGGGCATGTGTGCTGAATTTTGGTGGTAGATGGGATACATATCTTCCATTGGCTGAGTTTTCTTACAATAACAACTACCACACCAATATTGATCAACCTACTTTTAAGATGCTTTACGGGAGGAAGTGTCGGACCCCAATTTGCTAGGGTAAGGTCGGTCAGCGAGTCATGGGCAGCATGGAGGTGTATTGTTTGGCTTGAAGCTTGTGGATCCAAAATCTATTCATCTTGATCATCCTCTTGGAGGTATAAAGTCTCAACCTTGTTGATTCATCTCTTAGATCTAGTTAGTTAGGGTTTTGGCATATTTTGGTCCCTTGGGTTGATTAATGTGAGTATAAGTTACTCCAAAAGCTTAGAATAGTAGATCTTGATGTTTTTGAGGTCTCTTGTTCATAAAAATAGCATCTTGATGGCTTTAACTCAACCACACAAGAGTTGATGTTCACAATATGGAGTTAGAAGGTTAGAAATTAATTTTGGGCCTCTTTGAGCCATGCAAAGGCATCATGTTGACGATTTTATCATTTAAGACATTCCCAAGAACAAAATATATGAATTAGACGTTTGGTCTGAAAGCATTAAGTGCTGAAAAGTTGATTTTAGGCTCCAGAGGTGTATGCCAAGCGTACCTTCCCAGTACGAGGCGCGTAACAGGTTTGGCCTAATTTACCCATCGAACGTAGCCTAGTACGCTAGGCGTAAGGGTGGTACGCACAACGTACTCACCAAAAATCCTTTTGGGCCTTCGGGGTTAGGTTGGGCCATTTTGGGCCTTCGGGTTAGCTTGAGCCATTGTGGGCCATGACTTGTTGGGCCTAGAGTAGGAAGGGTAAAAGGGTCTTTTACCCTTTGTGAGAGGGATTATGCTTTGGACATTTAGTTTCGAATTATTACCCTAAATAGTTATTAGGGTTGGTTTGCCTGTGTTCAGTGTGAGGAGCCTTTGTAGCAACAGCTTGCATGTGTTTGCTTATCATCAGATTGAGGTGAGTCTTCTCACAGTGTTTGGCGGGTCGAAGGCACCAATGTCGGCCCATTGATTATTGTTTATAGGATGTTAGTTGTCTGTGTGACTCTTACATGTATTGTATGTGTTTGTATGTATACCGGGCGGGGCCTGATGTTAGGCGAGGCCTGATGAATGTGTTGGGTGGGGCCCATCGCATGTTACTAATAGATCTGTACTGGGCGAGGCCCGATGGATGTCAGGCGATGCCTATTTTATGTATGGTATGTGGTATTTTAGGGAAACTCACTAAGCTTTGTGCTTATGGTTTAAGTTTATGTTTCAGGTACTTCCAACTCGAAGGGGAAGGGCTCGGCCTGATCGCAGCATATCCACCCATGTTTAGCATATTTATGATTTTGGGATTGTACTCTGATAACTATTTTCACATTGGCATACTTTTTATGGTTGATATGAATATTTGATGAATTTTGCTTGACTTAAAAATGAAATTTTGTGATCATGATTTTTGGGATGTTACATAATTAGAAATAATTAATACTAATTAAGAATTAATCAAAAATAATTGGAATTAATTTTAAGTTGATTAATATTAACTAAAATGTGCAAGGATTAAATCACAGTTGTTCAATAGTTGAACAAAGAAGGCACTTCTAGAATCCTCTAGCCTATGGACGGCTTTGAGAGGCTTTGGAAGGGTTTTGGAAGCCTCCTAAATTTAGATAAGGAAACAAGATTTGAATAGAAATAAAATAGTACTCCCTCCGTCCCAAAATTATTGTCCTCCTTACTATTTTAGTTTGTCCCAAAATTATTGTCCACTACCAAAAGTAGATATACACTTTTACAATATTGTCCCTAACATTTAATAAAGTAAACTTGAATAATTACAAACACACATTTCCCATTGGTTTTAGAAAAGGGCAATAGAGTCATTTTACTCAAAAAGACAAAACTAATGATTGCTTTTCTTAATCTATGTGTTTTTTGTCTGTGGACAATAATTTTGGGACGGAGGGAGTATTATTTTATTATTCAAATTTAAGATTTTAGGGTTATCTAGTAGCTATATAAAATGTCCTAACCCAAAACAAAAGCCGAATCCCTCATCCTCACTTATAGAATTCGAAATTCTTCTCTCCCCTCTCTCTAATTTCGATCCTAGCGTTTCCTACGGTTTAGGTGTGACAGGTTAGAGGTTTCCATACTATCGGGGCTAGCATTCCAAGAAGGGTTCTTCAAAGTATATTGCTATTTACGATAATAGCAATAATATATGTAATCAAACCTTGTGATTTTCGATTATAATTAGGGTTATTTAGTTTTTCAAAGTACGTTGCTATTATGAGAAAAACCAAATAATTTCTAGGTTGCATGCGTCCATAATTATTATATAAAATTTTGCAAGTACATAGAAGTAATTTAGAAAACCCAACATGGTACGAGTGACAAAAAAAAATTAGGAATTAAACACACAATTTTACCTAAACCACAGAGACCATTTCAATAATTTACTGTATATTTTAATAGTTCGTTTACCAAATAAAATCATATGTACTAAGAAGTCAATCAAGTCAATAATTTACTGATATTTTAATAGTTCGTTTACCAAATAAAATCATATGTACTAAGAAGTCAATCAAGTCATTAAGTCAATTGTTATTTCAATAGGTAACTAAAAGCTTTAGGCATACTTTAATTATGTAAACTATGTTTTTAGCTTTAGGCATACTTTAATATGTAAACTATGTTTTTAATGTACAATTTTATATAAAGAATTTCGAAATATGAAAATGATGTATTTTCATTTGGCGGGACCATGCCTCCTAAAATGTTTTTTATAATATTTTATATATAAATCATATATGTTTTTAACATAAGTATAATAGTTGTAACAAAATTAATATCAATTAAGTTACAATCGATATTTCGGTGGTGAAGTAGCTACTGAATTTTGATGATTAAAAATATTATAATACGAAATTTTACTTTAAAACATGTTTTTTTTTTCTCTAATACACAACAGAAATCAACATCACATTACTATAATAACACAACATGCTAAATAAACACCATAAGCGACGATAAAACATCCTCACGCCACAGTTTCCCGATTCTTCAAAAGAAGTAAAACAAATCAAGCGTGTTTAGCATATCGGACGCCAATCAATCTAACATCATCGATAATTGGACCACAGAGAGACCCGTCAGTCTTCATCTGATAAAATGTACTAAAAAACCTGACTCTGGTACGTGTAGTCACGGCTCTAAACTTAAGAACCGCCTGTTTGTACCCACCCTTGCCTTTTGATTCGTAGGGTACCCTAAGCGTGTTTTTACCTGCAAATGCCTCTACAACCATTGAGCCTTCACAAGCGTTGTTGGCATCCCCAACAACAAAAGAGAGTGCGTATACTTTACCCGCGACAGTCTTGACTACTTGGGCAATCGCACTTTCTTTTCCAGCGATTAACTCTACGGCTCTTTTGCCCTTAGGGATGGCGAAGTGTTCGGAGTCTAAATACTTCACGGCTTTTAAGGATTCTATCATCCAACCAGGGAGTGGGGAATGGTCGTCCTCGATATTTGGAGGGATTAAAACACCACCGACATCTGTCTTAGGTAGCACAAAAGGACCTTCCTCGAAGTCTCCATTTTTCAACATATTAGCTGCAAGTAAAAAAGAGAAAATGAAAATTAAGTCTATTTTTCTTTCATATCGCATGATTCATGTGTACAAGTTAAAAAATAAAGTGTTAAAAGTAAAATGACCAAAATAGTTTGTGTCCTCTCACCAAATGACTATTTTTTGAACATTTACCATAAAAACTGCCATCCATTTTTCAATTTTTTTACATAATAACATACCATTTCGTGAAAAATGATTAATTTCAAAAAAAGAAAAACCGTAATTTAAAAAAAACTTGTAGTGGGAATATTTATCAAGTATATTCACGAAAAAAAAGACATTTTACCAAGTCCACTTTACAAAATATGCTTATTTTCTAGTTAATGTTCAAAAAATGGTTATTTTTCGATATGATTCCATCATTTTAGTGATTAACCCTTAACAAAAGGGCATACCATCTTGTAGCGGGCCGTTTTAAACCCGTTTCAAGCGTCATCACGTGGAGATGTGATGCAGTGCAGTAGCAATATTTTAAGGTGTGTCAGGATTTTAAACCCTGAACATTCATTAAATATTTTGCACCTCAACTACTAGGCTTTCAATGATGTCTGTAAATGATTTAAAAGAAATATTTTCTTACTGTTGGTTCTTCTAGGTGGGAACAAAGCCTTTAGTGCAACCGAATCGATAAGAGGACCACAAGCAGGATCTTTTTCAACACTCGGGTTATGAATAACAATCTCAATGACATTAGCCTCAGCCAAAAACCCCCATGCATATGTATCCCAACCATTGCTACTATACATCGTCTGCATCGGTAAAATCCCCCAATCATTTGGCTCTGAATTTGGTGACACCGAAACGTTCAATTTCTCCTCTTGTGCACATGTTCTAGCAACATTAAATGTGATAGAATAAAACAACCCCTTTTTCACATTCACTTTTGTTTTTATCGATGCATCTTCTCCTAGTCTCACTGCGTAAGCACCATCGGGTACTACTAATAACATGTCACCTTGTTTTTGGCCTGATTTTATGTACTCAACGAATCCCGTGAGTTCCCAATTTGGAATTGCTTTTGGATCGATTACTTTAGTCCCTTTCATTTGGTGAGGTTTTGGGCCATATTCGAATTGACCATTTGGTAATATTCCTGGAATTTAAGAGAATTTATGTGTTGGAATTTGGATCATAAATCATAACATATGACAAAATGAAAGAGAACTACGATTTACTCTTTTACATAAGCATTTAATGACATAAATAACTTTTTGCTTTTTTTCAACTAACTTTTATGCAAATAAGAGAAGAAGTAGAGAAATTGACAGAGCATGTTATCACGTGGATTTGTCTAAAGAGCACGTGATGAGAGGGACTGAATGTTTTTGTCCTTTTCTTGAAAGGTTGAAAAGATAGTAACATGGCTTATTCAAGGAACAGGGAAAAAAAAAATGAAAAATTAGGTATCGTGAGAATTATAGTTTCCAAATCGATTTTGACAATAAATATATTAATGTGATGTGATTACAAGACTTATAATTGTATTATTTATTTAAATAAAACTTGTTATATCTCACGTACTTGTTGATTTTAAAATTACATTAAAGTCAATATTCAGAGAAAATTTACACCTTGTAAAACTGCGCACTTTCATGTGATGATGGCCTACAGGCCAACTATAGAGGACACAGGCTTTAGCGAATTTTGGAAAGAGTAAAATTTGGTGGTAATAATAGAGATATTAAAAATAATGGTAAAAATAATAGAGACCTTAAGAATATGATCCCTTGATTCTAGGGATATTTATTTATTCATTTTATTATTTTATAAAGAAGGAAAATCAACAAAAGATATTAAAAATAATGGTAACATGAAACCCTCAAAAACTATACACGTTGCATAGGCATGGGTATTGATCTGTGCTAACAATGTGACTACGAGCATGGGCACTATGATATATGTCGATACTATGAATTTCACAATAAATCCAAAAAAACTAATGTACAAATATTTTGTTGTATATTTATTTTATCAAACGATGTATTATATAATACGATAAATATGATATTTCATGAGACATAAACTTTATTAAATTTAGTAGGCCAATTTTAGAATACGAGAATGACAAAACGATAGTATTATATAAATAATATCTAAAGTACTAAGGTTTGTCTTGAAACTTGTAAAGATTTGAAAATTATTTCATATCTATTTTGCATTTATTGCTTTGAAATTGGACACACCAACTAATAGTACGACATAGTTATATCTTACAGACTCCTTTCTATATAAATCTGAATGTTATTTTTTTAAATGTAAAAAGTATAAAAAAGGTCATCTTTTATAAATGCAGCTGAGACGTTTGAAATTGAATAACGCCTGTTATCCTAAATAAAATTACCATATTTGAATATTTTCGTAGTAGATCAAAATGGTGACATCAATAAATTGATTAATAAATCATACATTATTACGTGTAATTACTTATAAAAATAAATGAAAGTAAGTACTTGATAGCTCTTCAGAATGGTGTAGTAGGTTAGCAGCTAGTAAAATCATAACAAATTCGTACAAATTCAGCATCATGTTGTACTACCTGATCCACATTCTGGAAAGTAACTTTCAAATTTAATTTAAGTTGATATAATTCTAAATATCATTTTAGATTTCAAATGTATTCATCGATCGCTAAAACCTCATTACGATTTCAAACCAGATAAATCGATATGTAAGCTAACAAATCATTCATAATCAAAGCGAATAACATCAATTTATGATCAACAGCTTCGCATTTCCTGAAAACGATAAATCTATCGGCGAATGGAAGGAGATTTTAGTTTCGTTATTTAGAATCGAAGAACTCACCATCAGTGAAAGAGAGAACACCATTGCAAATTGCGCATAGGAGCAGCACCACTAAGATCGCAGAGAGCTTCTGCATTTTTCTGTTATGGAGAGAGAGATAGAAAAAGAGAGAGGGAGGAGATGAATGTTTCTAGTTTAGTGTGAATATGGATGAAGGGGTATGCACTGCTTTATATGTATTTCTGTCGATGGTAAAGGCTTCTGATTTTGGTTATATTTACATGAATTGCCACCGAAGCTTTCCTGTCTTGGCTCCTCATGTACACCCCCACTTCTTCTTATCTTTTACGGCTGTTGCACCAATTTTCATGAAATTTTTATTCCTAATCATTTCATGTATTGTTTTTTATCCTATAAAAGTATTTGACATGTTTTTTTTTTTTTTTTTTTTTTTTTTTTTTTTTAAACATATACACAAAATTAACTTTGTTACATAAAAATATTATTGTGCATAATGTGTAATAAATAAAGTATCACAAAGTAGATATAATTTAAAAAACAATTGTTATAGATCTTAGAAAAAAAAAAGTTTATTTGGTAAACTAGCTCATAGCTATTAGTAAGAATTTATACTTTCAATTGGGATATATACACTAAAGTCCTAATATTTTCATCGATTTGACAAGAAAGTCCTAAACTTTATTTTTTTGACAGTAAAGTCCAAATTACCGGCAGTTGTTGACACTTTTACCCTTTTTTTCCCGGTTAGCCGTTAATTAGGACTTTTTTGTCAAAAAAATAAAGTTTACGACTTTCTTGTCAAATCGTCAATTATGACTTTATTGTCAAAAAAGTAAAGTTTAGGACTTTCTTGTCAAATCGTTGAAAATATTAGGACTTTAGTGTATATCTCATTTTTTTTGTTAGAAATTTAATGGTATGATACTCTTTAAGCATAAGAGTTATTAAAACTTTCTCTAGTCAGCTAGATCCTATTGAAATCTTTAACATTTGCTTCTTGTTAAATCGTTTTTTAATCTCAACAAACCGACATTGAAAAAAATTGAGATAATCAAGAAAGAAAAAAAGAACCAGGGTTGTGTTGACTTTTTGCAGTCCCGAAAATGGAGAAATAAGAAACCGAAAAAAACGAAATTGCACTGGCTTTATACAAACACAAACAACACATGCCTAGTCAAAATGGTGTGAATGTGGAGAAGGGAAAGAAGGGCAATTTCGTTTTTTTCGGTTTCTTATTTCTCCATTTTTGGGACTGCAAAAAGCCAAACAACCCTGGTTCTTTTTTCTTTCTTTCTTGATTATCTCAATTTTTTCAATGTCGGTTGTTGAGATTAAAAAAACGATTTAACAAGAAGCAAACGTTAAAGATTTCAATAGGATCTAGCTGATTAGAGAAGATTTCAATAACTCTTATGCTTAAAGAGTATCATACCATTAAATTTCTAAGAAAAAATAATTATATATACACTAAAGTCCAAATATTTTCAACGATTTGACAAGAAAGTCCTAAACTTTATTTTTTTGACAGTAAAGTCCTAATTGACGATTTGACAAGAAAGTCCTAAACTTTATTTTTTTTTTAACAAAAAAGACCTAATTACCGGCTAACCTGGAAAAAAGGGTAAAAGTGTCAAAAACTGCCGGTAATTTGCATTTTACTGTCAAAAAAATAAAGTTTAGGATTTTATTGTTAAATCGATGAAAATATTGAGACTTTACTGTATATATCCCATTTCAATTTGTTTAGAAATATTTACAAAAATATTTGCAAACTATTTAAATGTGTAAAATGATTTTAAAAAAAAGCTGTTAATTAATATTTAGATTATGAACATCTTTTACAATTTATGCAATTATAAGAATCATCATATATTTGAATAATATGTTTAATAGTTCGACCAATTTGTCATTGTTTTACTCCAACTACAAAACTAAATAGTGAAAATAATATATATATATATATATATATATATATATATATATATATATATATATATATATATATATTGGTTAGTTTTTTAATTAAAACTGTAGATATTTACTCATTTAACAAACATAGGGATTCAGGTTTAGTTTATTAGATTAAGAGTTGTTTATTAAAATAAAATAAAAATAAAAAGACACTTATTGCATTTAGACCGGTGCCATCCCCAGATAGGTACTGTTGTGTTGGGTACGAAACTCCATTACAGCTCGATTCCATGTGGCTTTCAATTTTCTTGAAGTCCTGATTTTTTAGAGAGAATTAAGTAATTGTTTTTAGAGTGAGTAATAATGTTACATATATGACTAGTGTTATAAATAGTTTATTAAACTCATCGCGACACATAGAGCAAATAAGTGGATAGTCACTTGTTAATCCAATCTGATAGTAAATGATGCGGTATTTTATATATATATATATATATATATATATATATATATATAATATATATATATATATATAATTATATATATATATATATGGCTGTCATGTATGTAATATTAGATATAGAACAATCAAAATTGACTTCATTTTGATTAAAAAACACAATTTTTTTCATTGTTAGTTTCTTCCTATTGCTTTTGAGCTCATATTATTTTTGATTTAGTAATTTATCCCCAACAT